TTTAGCATAATTTGAAAAACCATTTTACAACACACTTATTGAACATGAACCCAATCAACCCATTACATATAAAAAAAAAAGGTTCAATAAAATTTCCATTCTAAACAAGCTTCAAGCATTCATAAGAAGCTTTTTAAGTAACAATTTTGAATCATTATAGACCACAGCAGGTTCTACAACCCATATGCACCTCTCAAGTTTCGCAAAAGCTCCATTGAAATTTCGATTTATTGCTAATAGAATAAAAATCCGTGTAAAAAGGAATCGATTATGTGTTTACTCAACAGTTTACGAAAATTTGTCAACATATTTTTACAAAGGCTAATCAGGAACATGATTACTGCTGGATTACTAATAATAACCAATTTATATTTAACACACATAAAAGAAATAATATTCATAACATCCACCTCTATGATTTTGAAAATCTCTATAATTCACTTCCAAATACAGAAATATACTACTGTCTCCTGAGTCTGCCTAAAACATTCCCTATTATGCTTACTGTTTTTAGTGACATTAAATGGACTGAAAGTGACATTAAAGTGCCATTAAATTTTCTTCTCTGTATGCTGTTTCAGAACTACATCAAGTTTCAAGATAGTATCTTCTTACAAATTAATTAAATTTTCATACAACTCTCTAACGACGATGTGACGCAAGATGCAAAAAACCTTTTCCTTTTACTGTTTTATTTTTTGGTATACACTGTTTTTGCACCTTCTCATGCAATTAGTCACTGTGCTTCTTGATATTATTTCTAATCATTTGTATTGGGTTGAAAATTGGAGGGATTTAAATGTTTTATTTTTATTTTACAATATTACCAACAATTGTTGTAATTATCAACTCACAAATGTATTAGGTTTAGAGCTGCTTTATACTTTGAGTTTGTTCCTTATTAATCCTACAAATTAGTGGTATTCCCACGGGGAACAACTATTCTAAGCAAATTTGCAACCTTCACTTGTTTATCTTTTTATAAACAGTAGTTGATTCCACATTACAACATTTTGCTCATAACGGACCGCTACGGTGACGGCAAAAGTTTTGGGATTATTGAAATTAACAAAATTTACCCTGGAGTGCCTCAAATAAAATAAACTTTAATTAAGAGCAAATTGACTATCTCGATTTAAACCTGCTTGATTATAAGCAAATTAAATTATTTGTTAAAAGAAGCCTTTTTAATTTTTGCACTAATAAATTAATCAAATGACAGCCCAGGGTTTCAAAAAATAAAAATATAGTACATAATACCACTATTAATCAAATTATCAGAATTAAAAATATTTAAACACAAGTTTCAGAGTTATAAGAAGAAATATTAATCCTTACTCACACACTGAATAATAATAAATTGCTAGAAATTTCATTAACTTCTATTTTAAAAAGCTTGGCATTAACTACCAGTTATAAACTGGAAGTTATTTATCAACACCCTATTTGAAACCGAAAGAACAGAGGATGCGTAAATTTTGAATTTATGGATTTGTTATCATGTAACTGATGTAAATATTTACTCTGGTATAATTTCAGTCTCTAGTTCTGGAGTGCTTCAAACTAAATAAAATAAACTTTAATTAAGATCAAATTGACTATCTTGATTTAAACCTGCCTCGTAGGCTTGTAGAGATATTAGGTATATTTTTGGAAGCAGGAAAGATGAAAAATAGCAACCGCCTTCGCCGGGAATTGAACCGCGGACCTCTGTAATACCGGCCCAGCGTGCAGAACCACTACACCACGAAGGCACGCTAGGAAAGTGGGAGAAATATTTTATAGGCTACAACATTTTTACTTCCTTGTACGAAGTAAAACGGAAGTATTGTAATCGCGAAAAGCTTCAGGCAGCATATTTCAACGAAAATATCCACTTTGACCGCTTTCGAATGCAATTTAACGATGTTTTTGCGTGATATCTATACGAAAGGACAGAATAAAAGACTCTTTTCCTCCAAAAAAACTAAAAAACTGCTTTAATATGAATTCTGAAGAGAATTTTTCGTGGCGTCTGTACGAACGTATGTACGTACGTACGTACGTTCGTGCGTACGTACGTATCTCGCATAACTCAAAAACGAGTAGCCTCAGAACGTTGAAATTTTGTATATAAGACTACTATAACATGCAGATGTGCATCTCGTATTTTGGTTTCAATTGGCCTCGCAAAACGTATATATAAATATATTTATAAATATATCCACTCTGTTACCCGGCTCAGTGATCTCAGTTTCTTTACTCTTATATGTTTGTAAATTGTACATTTTTTGCTTTAAAACTGATTGAATTATGTTGTTTTATCTTCCGGTTAAAGTTTTTATGCCTTTCGTAATTCTGGAAGCAATATTTGTACAATTATCAACAATTTAAAAGCTGTTTAAGTGCGGTTAAGTTTTAAATAACATGGCGGACATATTTGTTTACATTTGAAACAGCAGAATTGTAGATTTGTTGCCAATCTAGAGACACTAAGCTTCGCAAAATATAACACCTTCATTTATTATTGCGAATTAAATCATGCTTAATCCTTTCTGGAATTTTTTCGAGGAAATAAACATTAATAAGATTTACTTCGTAATTTTTAATACAGATATTTTGAGTTTTTATGTATTTTTGCCTTGTCGCGAAGTGAAAACTGAATTAATGGAATGAGAAATACTCAATCGTCTGTGAAAAACTGTTTCTTTTTCGTTTTGTTTGCTTAATTTCTTTTATACATCGTTCTAGCTTTGTTATAGTATTTGAATAGAACATGTGGCAACGATTAGATAATTCTTTAAATGATATAAATTTTGTGCATTCTGAGTTATAATATGAACGAAATATAATACTCTTAAGTAAACCTAGCGCCAGAGTGTCGCTATGGTAAACAAAGTGAATTTTAAAGAATGCATTTATTCTATTGTGGTTTATGCGCTGTCGGCGAAGTAGGTTTAATTCAATCTAATAAGTTAAATGAAATGCTAGAAAAAATGCGTATAATTTAATATTCCGTACAAGGAAGTCATGTGGTGTACACATCAGATTTTTTTCTTAAACATATACTAGCAAAATGATTGAAAATTTTAAATTTTAGGCTTGCTCTATATAGTACTTTTGTAAATATTTTACATTTGTATTTAAGACGTGAAATATTTGAAATTATAGATGTATAAATAACTGTATCCTTTCATTTTTATTTTGTTTTCAGTGTTTTTCCAACATTATTATTGCTTGGCATTCTAATTGCCTATTTTCAATTACGATCCTTGTTGCACTCTGCTTTACTTAATTTGTTACGTAAATTTATTTTGTGTCTTGACTTTTGTATTTAGTGATCTTCGACATGCATAGGGGAAATATTTTTTATTTTTAAAAACACCTTTAATTATAATTCATTTCAAGGTGGCTTTTGACTATCAACAAGAACTGAAACGCATTCAAATTTCATGATGTGAACAATTGGAATAATTTCAAACTTCTACCCACTGATGACTGTGGATTAAAAATGATTCAGAATTGTTACATCAAATTAATTTCAACATTTCCTTTTCTTGCACTAATTCATTTCTTAACTTTTAAGCTAAAGCTCAATTTCACAAAATTTATTTTTATTAACTTGTTTTAGTTAGCCACATGTATAGTTTTGAAAATTCAAGATTGCATTTAAATTATTTTTTTATTTAAAAAATTGTGTGTCCTTATGAGCATAGTTTATTTTTCTTAATTATATAAGGTATTTCCCCAGCCTTCTTAGTATGCCTTTGTAGTGCAGTAGTCAGCACGCTCGGCGCTAAAACGAAAAGTCCGTGGTTCGGCGAGGACATTTCTCATTTTTCAAGTCTCCTGCTTGAAAAAAAAACAAAAAAAAAAAAAAAAAAACTTAATGACTCTACAGTGGCTGCCGAACTAAAACGGGTGGGGAATGATAATTCACCGCCCCCAGGATCTGGCGACCTTTAAAAGGGGGAGTATATAAGGAATTTCTCCCGCCTTCTTAGCATGCCTTCGCAGTGTAGGGGTCAGCACTCTCGGCGCGTATTCGAGAGGCCCGTGGTTCGAGTCCCGGTGAACGCATTGCTCATTTTTCATCTCTCCTGCTTTCAAAAAAATTCCTAATGTCTTTACCTAATGCCAGTTATATTTAATATACTAATATTTTTCTGTTTATACCATATCACTTTAAAAATCAAAATGCAGAAGCAAACTCTGCAATTTAAAACTGAAATTCTTTTTGAGAGAAATTTCAGTTTTAAGGAGATTAGTAAAGTTTTATTTTTATTAGCTGGCAGCATTTATTTAATGTTATGTTTTTTCTTCGAGTATTTTAATTTCTATTGATTGCTCAGTGTGATATTCTGATGCTGGGCAAGATAAAGAACTAACTTCTTTATCTATGCAAGCTGAGAATCGTTTTTCCTCGTTTTGTATTAAAAAATGTAAATAATACTTTTCGTAAAACTTTAAGATGCTCGTACAATTTATTATTATTATTATTATTATTATTATTATTATTATTATTATTATCATCATCATCATTTATCAGAAAATCTAACATTTTATCTACCTTGATTTTAATTCGCATTTTTAAGCATTCATTTTCGTTTATAACACTTAAAACTGTAGTAGATTACCTTAAAATGATTATAACAGAATATTTTAATAGAAGTTGTAATAAAGTATTCAATGTGATAATGTTTAAAATGGAGGAAACAATAATTTACAATAAAAAGTATGTTTAAAAATTTGTAGAAAGGTAAATCTTAGGATTTTCAAGCTTTTTTACGCAGAATTATTAGAATTTATTAAACAGAACTTCCAGTTGTTAGACTGTAATTTGAAGTTTTCGGATTGCATTTTTTAAATTTTAATTTAATATGAAGACTCGGGACTTAAAACGGCTAAAAGAATTTTTCTTTAATTAGTTTTGAATGTATTAAAAGTGCGTTATATATACATTATATATATAAAAGTAACTATATAAAACATATATGAATTCATATAATAAAATACATCACCTGCTATACTTGCTATGTTGATGACTCGGCCGTTTGATTTCCGGAGAAGAGGCAAAAATGTTTTGGTTACTCGTATCATGCCCAGAAGATTAACATTGACAACTTCTTCAATGCTTGACATTGTCACGATTTCAATAGGTGATGCATTTCCTATACCAGCATTGTTGATAACAGCCCACAGTTCTTAGAAATATACAACATTACATGATTTCTATAATGATTTTTAGTTAAAAGGACAATATAAGAATCAAGAAAATATTAAAATTTTTTTAAGCATAGTGAACTCGCGTTAAGTACTCGGTTACCTATCAGACTGCAAACTGCATTGGAAGTTCATTTTATCATGGAATAAGTAAGGATTTGTTCATTACTACAAGTATTTTAATGTAAGTTACAACTCTAACCATCACGTGGTAAAATTTCACAAAAGTTAGGCGAAGGCACAAAAAAAAAAAAAAAAAAAAAAAAAAAAAATTCATGACTACGCTTTCTTAAGGAAATAATTTCATTGTAGTATTGGTATAATATGCACCATAGCGAAAGTACAAAATAACGCATTAAACTGGGAGCTTAACTTGAAGCTGAAATACGAGAAATATTATGATTTCTGAAGGCAAAAACAATTAATTGTACTGAAATTCGTTGTGGAGTTAGGGTGGGGCACGTGCAGCCACAATCAAATTGTCCCAACAATTTGGACACGTTTGTACAAGCGAATATTCGAACGCGGTTGTACAGGTACATATACCTGATGACGATTGACTAGGAAGGCCGTCAATATAGATTACGGGCAGCATTGTGTTGCAGATTGATTAAATGATTCGTTTCGCCACAACATAAAATAACTGTCTCAAAACCTGCATAGGAATTTTAAACAGACACTACCTGCGTTTATTTCCATTAATAAATATCACCGTGTACTTAATACATTCAGCTTTAATTTCAGAAATAATGCCTTACCATTTTGGTCCAAATGCTCCAATACGAACTCATAAGCTAGATTTATGTCATCTAGCTCAGTGACATCCATCTTTAAGCAATGCAAATTCGGTAAATCATTCAGTTCCTTTCCACCACCTTGCAATGGGGACAAACAGGCGGCAAAAACTTGGAAACCAGCTTTATTTAATCGTTTTGCAATACTGAAACCAAATCCACTGTCACATCCTAAAATGAAAAAGGTTTTCATATTTTTAAGCACGGCAAACAAATTAATTATTCGTGTTTTAATTATCCTTTTAAGTAAAGGCACGTTAAAAATAAAATCTCATTTTGTTTTGAGATTTGAAATATTAAGATAGTTTCCCAGCAAAACAGGTTTAGTTTGCCAAATTTGTCCCGAAATCGCCCATTTGGTGACAAAATTGACGATATGCAGTAAACGGATGGAGAACATTCTGGAACGAATTCTTATTGGTTTGGCTTAGGATGTTCTCGAAAGCAGGCCAAAAGCTATATAAACCCTGCCTTTATGCAGAGTAGCATTCTAGTATCGAGGTGTCTCGTGTGCGTATCGCGAGTTGCAGCCTGGAGAGTCTCAAGAGTACGTTGAGTTCCGAGAACGACTGAACCGGGTGGGGAGCTGAAGTGTAGTGCTTTGCCGTGGAGCTGTCTTCCCCGTTATAACCTAATAGCCTGAAGGCTGTGTTGCTGATAGTTTCAGCGTATTTTTCGTAGTTTTTCGACAACTGTAAACGTGATTTTGGAACTGTCCTGAGTAATACTGGCTAAATAAATTGTGTTTTTATTCGTCATCAAATGTTGTCATCAATCACTCCAAATCCCCGAACTCATAGAAACGCGACAATATTATGTACATTATAAGTTTTGTTGCAGTACAAAAAAGGGAAAAAAGAAGAAAAACGGGAAAAGGGGGGACAGAAAGAATAAAGAAATCACAATCTGAAGATTTCAGATGGCAACATAACATATCAGAAAAGGATGCACTGTTAAAACGTTCAGAAAATTGTTGAGTAATAATCATACTTTAAATTTTAATTTATAGACTTTATGCACAATCGGTTAACATGCGCGTTTTGTTTCTAATACAGAACATTTTTAAGTAGTTAGGGCCATCTAGTGGCCGGTGGGCTGCATACAATCAAATACTCCCAAAGGAGGTTGTTTTTTTTTTCGGGGAGGAGGGGAGCGGGTAGCCTGCCACTAAGTAACAATGTATACATTTTCATACCTCTAACCACTTAAGGTTATTTTCCAACAAAGATTATTTGAATTTAATACACTTGAATCGTGAAATAACTGGTCAAGACATATTTTAAAATACAGGGTGTTCATAAAGTCCCGGACCCATTTTGATGTTTAATAACTCATAATTAAGATTAATTAATAATTAAGACGGATTAAAATTAATAACATAAATGGTTAGATAGACTCAAAAAGTTTCATGACCCTTGTCAATGAACTTCCACGTGTGCCCCCCTTCGTCGCACGGAGAATATCAAGTCGATATTCAATTTCACGCCAGGTACCGGCAAGGCATGTCGGCATCCATAGAGGCTGTTGCGGTTGTAATTCTGGCTTTTAGGTCATCAATGTCCGACACTCACCTCCTGTAAATGTTGTCCTTTACAAATCCCTAAACGAAAAAGTCCAGCGGCGTTATATCAGGTGATCTGGGTGGCCAAGGAATTAGGCCTCCTCGCCCAATCCATCTTCCTGTAAAATTGTCATTCAAAGAACTACGAACGATGGTACCCCAATGAGGTGGTGCACCATCTTGTTCTAAAACGTCATGTGGCTGAAGCTCTTCTAGTTGTGGAAATACAAAGTTTTCCAACATGTCTAAGTATACGACTGAAAAGGCCGTCTTTTCTGTAAAAAAGAAAGGCCCAATGACTCGGTCATGCATTAGTCCACACCACACATTAACCTCTGGGGAATCCCTTTGTGCCTCACGGTATTCATGCGGGTTTTCAGATCCCCATATGCGCACATTATAACGATTAACAATGCCAGAACGATGAAAGGATGCTTCGTCGGAGAACATTATGCGCTTCAGAAATTAAGACAGACGATATTTAGCAAAGTACAGATATTTAGACTGGAAAATAAAATTATCTGAAATTAACCACACGCGCAGACGATATTTACAAAAGTAAAGACATTCAAACCTGAAAAGTAAAATATATAAGTTATTGCATCAATAAATGCCATAAGTTTGTTTATATCTTTATTATTTTATGAGTTATTAAACATCAAAATGGGTCCGGGACTTTATAAACACCCTGTATTTATACAGCATAATTTATTCTATAAGCCTTCTGAACTCGATTTGCAAAGTAAATGACTTTAAATATATTTCTACATGATATACACATTATTACCGTTTCTACTTTACAAGAACAAAAAACATATATGAAATATAACGTCGTAAGACATATATTTATACTTCATGTAGAATTACTTTTGTAAATTACCTGTAATTAGCACCGCCTTCCTGAATGGATTAATTCTTCCACATAATCGACTAGATAATAATATATATGAAACTATTTCGAAAATTAAGTAACTGATACAAATCTGAAATACAACCAGTAAAATATCTTGTAAAGAATTTAACTCTAGAATAAGAAGCAATACCACAACTACAAATATAAAGGAAAATATAATTCGCTTTGCTAAAAACTGTGTTTGATATGCAGCTGTTAACTGTTCTGCTATAAACATCATGACGAGAGCGAAAATAAGCTTCCTGATGTAAAAGTCACACTCTAATAAGAGAGAATGGTATAAATGACGCCCATCTTTTCTAAGAAAGAAGACTTTTGGTAATGAATTCAATATTAATATTATAAATTACGCCCTATCGTTAAACAAAGTTCTTATATCGTTAAACTAAATTTCCTACTGTTAAAGTGATTTCTTTATTTTAAAACAAATCATTTCTAAATTATTTAATTCCTAGAATTCCAAAGGATTCCTAAGATTGTCTAATTTTCATACCATCGTTCCTATAAATTTTCACACAATATATTTTTTCCGATTAATTACAAATTTACAGGGAGAATTCTTGCATAGTTAGATATGATATTAGCTTTCTTCTGGAAAAAAATGAAGCGATAACGCTTACGCAATCTATGGACGATAATTAGTTGCAATAACAGAGGATAAAAAATTGAAAAAAACAAATGAAGCTAGAATAAAAATATGTGACACAAAAAAAAGCAAGTAAATGTCAAAGTGAATGCCATCAATAGCCTATTAGTGTACCATAAAGTAAAAAAAAAATAGAGTCCCAAAGAACTCCAAAAAAACTTGAAGAGGAAAACCATGAATGCCACACATCTCGACCAAATAGGCAAATAAAATGTAGGATATTGTTGGGCACGTACGGGTTCGTAATAGATTGAATGCACAAGTCAGATTAAAAAGTTAATAAAATTTATTCTTATCATAAGAAATATAACAAAACGCTGGATTTTTCCTCAAAGATATTAGTACTACATCTGTATCACGCAATATAATCAAGAGGTATGTTTTAAACTGCTAAAACGTTAAATAGAACACAATCCAAAACGCAAAGAAATCTAGGCTGATCTCACCGCGATCAACAAACAAAAGTTATCTAAAGGACTGAACTCAGATGCTTCTCTCGGACTTTCTAAAGCTATTTTTAATCAGGCACGAAAAGGTTCTGGTAATTTCTGTTTTCTCGAGGTTTCTGGAAAGCAAAAGAGTAGAATTACGAGATATCTATTTATTAAATATTAAATGCGCGTGCTCCTGTATTTTTAGTTTTTTGGCGTAGCTTTCTCTTAAAATAAGTCTCGGCCTGCATTGTTCGGTGATATAAAAGAATCTTAATAATAATTCTACTAAAAATAGCAAACTAAATACAAAATTCCTAACACTGCCCCCTTCCCAAGGACTGCATGTCCTGGGTAGTACAACTCCTGGACGGGAAGCCAAACTTACAACTAAGGCAAAAATGCAAAAATAAACGTTACATTACAAACAACATAAACAATAATTGCAATAAGTAACTTAAAACAAATCAAATACAAAGTTAAACAAATGCAAAGTTAAAAAAAAAAAAAAGGACGATGGTCTTATATTATTTACATTAGATACACTACGTACTATTATAAGGTATTTCTCCCACTTTCCTAGCGTCCTTCGTGGTGTAGTGGTTCTGCACGCTGGGCCGGTATTTCAGAGGTCCGTGGTTCGATTCCCGGCGAAGGCGTTTGCTATTTTCCATCTTTTGCCTCTAAAAAAATCCTAATGACTCTACACTATGACCATAGTAAGGAGCTAACACGTCGTAGTAAAGGATTTTAGGCTTAGAGTTCGATAAGTTACGGATCCGAACCACGACGTCGTTCAGCCTATCCCAAGGTGACTGTAGTTTCTTACAGAGTACGAGTTTCCGTCGAGTTGGATTCCATAACCGATTCTTGTCTCCTTCGTTGAATCGATGACCGTAGCTTTGGTGTCGTATCGGGTCTTCATCCTCTCCGTCGCTAAGCTGACTCGCTCTTCTTTGTAAAATTTTCGTAAATTTTTGCATCACTTCAAACCGGGCCTGGAGATCTTGGATGTATAGAAGGCGCATCCGGAGGGCGACCAAACAAAAGCTCACAAGGCAGATGAAGGTCAGGTAGGTTTATCTGTTTGAAGACTCTATTAAATAAATTATGGTTTTAAGGTGGCCGTCTTTCCTGACTTATCACTCCATGGGTCTTGATGTACTTTTCCGTACTACTGGATTAAGTAGTTCGTATTTCACTTCGACCCGGGAACAATGTCAGCAGTTTTCTGGGCAAGGTCTTCTAGACAGGGCATCGATGTTTCCGGGTGATAATCCCTTCCGATGACGGATAGGATAGTAATGTCATATTCCTGGAATTTCTGTATCCAGTTGACAGTTTGACCTTTGGGATTCTTAAAATTTGAAAACCAGGTCTACGAAGCATAATCCGTGAGGAGTAGGAATTTTAGCTGTAGAGATAATGATGGAAATGTTCTACGGTTTTGACTATGGCGAGCAACTCTTTCCTGGTGAAACGGTAATTCCTCTCCTGTTTTGATAGGCACTTGTTGCAGAAGGTATTCACACGTTCTTGGTCGTTTATTTCTTAGGACAAAATAGCACCGATAATATCATTGCTCGCATCCATGTCGAGCTGAGGATACGTCAGGATTAGAACCGATGTTAAAGCATCCTCCAAGTTGTTAAATGCCTCCTCACATTCTTTTGTCCACAAGAACATTTGTTTGCTTTCTGTGAGTTTGTGAATGGATCTTGCGACGTAAGAAAAGTCCTTCACAAATCTCCTATAGCAGGTGCTTCCTAGGAAACCCTAGGAAACTTCTCAGATGATGGACATTTCCAGCCTTCTGTCCACAACTGATGACACAAAAAGTGTCCACAACTGATGACACTTTTTCAGGATCCGTATACACATCTTCAGCAGAAATGACATGTCCGAGGTAAGTCACTTCCTGTCTGAATAATTTAATTAATCGGCTTCTTTCAGTTTCTGAAGCATATTTCTTAGATTATCTAGATGTTGTTCAAGACTCTTCCCGACGATGATGATGTCATCCTGGTATATCAGACAGGCTTCGTAGGAAATATCTTTCAAAACCGTCTCCATGAGGCGTTTGAATGTCGCCGGTGAATTACAAAGTCCAAATGGCATCCCCTTGAACTGCCGTTTGGAATTTGTAATGCACCTGTAGTCCTTGTCCGGTAGTAAATGACGTCTTTTCTCAGTCATCAGTATGTATCTCTACCTGCCAATATTTACGTTTTAAATCAAGTGTCGAAAACCACTTGCTTCCAAAAAGAGTGCCCAGAATGTCATCAATTCTAGGAAGAGGGTATCTGCCTGTTTTCGTAACCTCGTTGAACCGGCGATAGTCAACACAAAATCGAGTTCAACTGTCTTTCTTCTTGACGAGGACGATGGGAGATGCCCATGGACTTTATGAAGGCTTGATGACATAGCTTTCTTGCATGTCTTTTGAAAGTATTCGTACCTCTTCCTGTTTCGCAATCGGTAGACATCTTGGAATTTACTTGATTGGGGGAATGATCGCCGGTATACATTCTATGTTGTGTCAAACTGGTTCAACCCAAGTAAGAAGGCGAGCTGTAGAAAACATCTTGAAATTCTTGAATGACATGTTCGGCAGCATTCCTGTCTTCATCGCTTATTTGTGCATTCTGCAATAACTCAGATTTAATGTTCTCTGAAGACACGAATTCTGAAGCGTTATTGTTTCGTTTAACGCTGGTCACTGGAGTGCATGCTGGAACCACTTCACTTTTCTTAGTAACTCTCGCCTTCTCAGTTACATTGGCAACTCTCACCGTGATAACGGTCCTCGATAAGTCGACAAGTGCTGAAGCTACTAGCACTCCTTTCGGGCTGTTACAGTTCTTGGGGTATTCTATGATGCCGTAGCGGAAATTTCTATTTTCGGCTATGGATCCAGGAAGTAAAATTTCTGTTCTTGCGTGCATTGTGATATCGTCTTGAGCTATGATTTTGTGGATAGATTTCACTCGCTTTGTCATTAATTATGAATAGGGCTGTGTCGTCAGAGGTAGGATGCAGTTCGCTATTTTTAAAGTCCAAGGAAAAACTGTATTTCTGTAGAAAGTCCAATCCGAGTATGCAACGATCTGCTATCAGAGAATCAAAAAACATTAAGAAACTGCTCAGTGGCAACCCCTTAATTGAAACAATAAACGCTCAGTAGTCCATCTCGCTATTGAAGGTTACAATTTTTGAAATAACGAAAATAAGCATCTCTATTCACAATACTTAAGTTTTTTCTCGAAGAAGTAATATCGGATATTCATCTTCTTTAAGTAATAGAGAAAGAAATAGTTGAAGAATTAAAAACTCAACGTGTCTGCCTTGCTATATAAATAAAAACAAAATGAGATGGGGGAATTTATCAATACAAAACATATAATCTTGCCTTCAGCAATTCATATATGCCAAAAGCCATCAAAGCTGGCTATATGCCTTGCCATGTAATACCATATGTGCACATTCCAATGCGGTGTTTTAAATATCAGAGATCTGGGCTTTTGAAAACCTCATGCCGTGACATTTTAACATGCGCGAAGTGCTCGCAAGTTGACTACGAATATGATGACTATAATAATATTCCTTTCTGTGTAATCCTGAAAATAAACTCATACAGTATATTAGAGATCATGTGCAAAATGGAAGGCAGAAAAGGGCATACGGTGTGTCAAAATAACCAGAAATTCACCTTATACAAAAGCTAAGGGGATAGACAGTATGTAGAAGCTCTTTTTACGTATAAAACACCATATACAGAAGCTAAATGCACCATATACAGAAGCACCACATACAGAAATGCACCATATACAGAAGCTAAGGGGATAGACAGTATGTAGAAGCTCTTTTTAAGTATCTTTGTTGTCGCGAAGTTTAGTTTCTCTGAAATGGCAAAAAGAATATTAAAAAAAATAAGAAGCTATTGCGTTTATGTTTGTACTTCTAAACGTTTATTTTATTATTGTGAATTAATGCCTAACCCATTTTGGAATTATCATTTAATTTGCTGAATTATCCCATGTATTGACTGTGTGTAGCGTCTAAAATAATCTGGTGACCCGGCTGAATAATTTCTTCTAACCATCGAAATTATGAACACTGACAGTTCTGTTCCGAATGCTG